ATATTTTAAATTTAAATTATATAATACCTAAATGAAATAAAATAAAAAAATAAGGAAGTTACCTTTGTGCAATTAAGATAAAAAAAAAACCTAATTATTTATTGGTTTAAGTGGAAAGAATCTAATTTTCTTTAGATAAAATATTAAATTTAAATTTTTTAAATAAAAAAATAAACGTTGAAAGAGTTTTTTACTATATGAGGTACGACTCAACTTTATTCCGAATTAGTTAGGTTTTATAATTTTTGGATATCAGGTGTTTAGTAAAAAAAAGAAAAAAGAAAAAAAGAAAGTCACTGTTATAGTTCCAACCGAAGGCAAATCAGGGGCATGCCACTGCTCACAACCCACGATCCAGCCCAACCAACAGTGAGATGGACCTGCCATCAAACCGGTGAAAGAAACGTAGTTTTCACCAGTCCGCATCCGAAGATTTTGACTTTCCACGTTCGCTGTACAGTAGCATTTTCATGAATTCTCTGTTCTTTGAAGCAATGCATTTCATGGTTTCTCTTTCAATCTCTAACTGGAAATCCTCATTCCTTATTCAGTCCCATGACCTCAGTTCTACGGAATCATTCTTAACTACTTCTTGTGACGTCCCAACCTACGGAGCTTTTCTTGTGCTGCTCTCCTTTTAAATATGGGGTTTTCACATCTTCTAACATCGAACCCAGAGGACCTCTTTCATGTATCTCGTCGATAATTTTCTGGGGTTTTGAGATTTGTTCAAAAATGAGAATATGGATGTGGGTTTTTGTTGTTTTTGTTCTTGGGTATGCTTGGAGTGCAGCTTCTAAGCAGAGTGTTCGTACAAAGAGGATTTCTGGTATTTCTTCCTTTCGAATGTTTATGCAATTGTTCTGTTCAACTTCTTTCATTCTTTCTTTTTAAGCTGCAGTTGATTTCAGTGCCAATAGTTATCATTGCTGTTATATATGTTCTAAGTTGTTGGAGATTAGTAATTTCCTGCGGTGATGTCTAGTTCCATGTTATCATAAGTGGAGTGATGAATTTCCACTTAATTGGGAATGAAGATATATGAATTTGATTGCTTTCATTAACTTGGTGGTGATATTAGTGTTCTGAATCTTGTCTGCTGCTTGGAGAAGGTAACATCTTGCAGTTTATATATGATTGTTCACTTGCATTATGCATATTTCTTAGTTTTTAGAAAATATGTGCAATGAGTGAAAGGGGAAGAGGGATGCTTAAAAGTTGTTTGAAATGGCTGCCTTCTGTGGATATAGGATTTTTAATCCTGTCCTTTTCTTATACTCATGAATTTGAAATGTAAGTATTTTCATCTGGTCTAGAAGTTAGCGAAATTTTATTGAAATTCAATTTCAGGAAAAGCCATTTATGACAGGTCCCTGAATAGTGTGTGCTGTATACTCAATGTAGATGTTCTTGTCTTCTTCATACTTGCTTGTAGACTATAGTAGACAGGATATAGCTAAATACCATTTTCTTAGGCCTTCGTTTACATTTGACAATTGATCTAGCTGTTCACTAAGCAAATTCTCCATCCAGCTTAGGTACAGACAGCTTGGTACGAGCATTGGCAATGACAAGAGACATAAGTGCCTTGTTATATGTTATAATATATGTTAAGCCAAATCTATAGATGTGCTATGGCCATGCCTCCAGTTTTGATATGCATTGGCTCAGAACTTTTAGAAAGTTTGAATCAAAACTAGTGATTTGTGGATGTTTTTTGACCATGCAGAAAGTGCTGGTGCTGGTGTTGAAAATGACTATTTAAATTCCATCAGGAAATTTTACTTTTTGGGCCTCTAAATATTGGAATCTGAAATATGTTTGGACCATGCAGGAAGTGCTGGTGATCTCTTGGAAGATGATCCTGTGGGAAGGTTGAAGGTTTATGTATATGGGCTTCCAAGCAAGTACAGCAAAAAAATCCTTCAGAAGGACCCCAGATGCCTCACACATATGTTTGCTGCAGAGATCTCCATGCACAGATTCCTCTTATCAAGCCCTGTTTGAACACTCAATCCAAAGGAAGCTGATTGGTTTTATACACCTATATATGCAACCTGTGACCGTACCCCCAGTGGCTTGCCCTTGCCTTTCAAATCTCCAAGGATGATGAGAAGTGCAATACAGCTTATTTCCACAAATTGGCCTTACTGGAATAGAACAGAAGGGGCTGATCATTTCTTTGTTGTGCCGCATGATTTTGGAGCATGCTTTCATTATCAGGTAAACGTTTCTGCCACTTCACTCTCTTGATGGGTATGTATATTATTAGCACGTTGATTTTACAATAATAATGGGATGATGAGATTGTTCATTATTGAAGCTAACATTTTAATAAAAATATGAGATTTTATTTTATTTTATTTTGAAAGGTTGTACCCTAACTATTTGCTTATCACGATTCAAGGGATATTTCATGTGTAGCACCTACTTTTTTTTTTTTCCTGCCTTACATTATGATTAAATTGCTTATATTGTCAAGAAGAACCATTGAGGTAATTCATATCTTTTTGAACCAATTGATTTTGATCTTTACTTATTTATGAATAGAGGTTTGATTTTCTTGAATGTCATCTAGGAAGAGAAAGCTATTGAGCATGGGATCCTTCCATTGCTCCAACGTGCTACCTTGGTACAGACTCTTGGGCAACAGAACCATGTGTGCTTGAATGGGGGTTCAATCACAATCCCTTCCTATGCTCCTCCTCAGAAGATGCAGGCCCACCAGATTCCACTAGACACTTCATGGTCTATCTCTGTCTACTTTCGTGGGTTGTTCTACAATGTGAATAATGATCCAGAAGGTGGTTATTATGCAAGGTATATGTTTCTTCAGAGCTTTTAGAAGTCGTCTAGGCCAAGGTTTAGGTAAACAATACTTTCTCTCAGTCAAATTGGCCTTGTTTATCTTAGCGTTGGACCAAGTTGCATTCTTCTGAAGCTGCTAGATAACTTAGCTGGCTGGCACTTTTGTTGAAGTGCAAAGGAGTCAAGGACTTGTAACAAAATGATAATTAGATAGTTACCAGCCACTTGGACCAAGTTAGGATGATCATTTAATGAAGTGATGATGATGGATTAAATGTTGAGATATGAAAGAAAGAAAGGATAATCTAGTAAATTCTCAGGCTCACTTAGGACCACTTGAGCTGTTCTCTCACAGCAAACCGCAAGATGCCAAGAAGAAGCATAATAGTAAATAGTCTACTCAATAATATTACAAGAATACCCCAAGAAACACAAAGCAACTTATTTACTAGTATTTGTGTTCTTGTGTATGCCATGTGGTGTGAAGAAAATAGACATGGGATTTTATAGTTTGCATCTACCATGGGAAAATGATCTTATACTTTATGTTTGTTGGGTTTGATCCTTTACCTCTAGTTGAAAACCTAACATGACAGCTAGATATTTGGACTAAGTATGAATCCTTGTGACCCCTTTTTCTGATTGACAGGGGTGCAAGGGCAGGTGTTTGGGAGAATTTCAAGAACAATCCTCTCTTTGACATCTCCACTAACCATCCAACTACATATTATGAAGACATGCAACGAGCTGTATTCTGTTTGTGACCCCTGGGTTGGGCACCATGGAGTCCTAGGCTAGTTGAAGCAGTAGTATTTGGTTGCATCCCTGTCATCGTAGCGGATGATATAGTTTTACCCTTTGCTGATGCCATCCCATGGGAGGAAATTGGGGTTTTTGTAGCAGAAGAAGATGTCCCTAAACTTCACACAATTTTAACCTCTATGCCAACAGAGGTGATTTTAAGGAAACAAAGGCTTCTAGCAAACCTTTCAATGAAACACACCATGTTATTCCCACAACCAACTCAACCAGGGGATGCTTTCCATCAGATACTGAATGATTTAGCTCATAAGTTGTCGCATGACAAGAGTATTTACTTGAAGCCTGGTGAAAGGGTATTAAATTGGACAGCAGGACCAGTTAGGGACTTGAAACCTTGGTAATGGATTTTTTATCTAACCGTTCACTGCTTAAGCCGGTTCATATCAACCTCAATTGGATTTTTCCCATTAAAAAGTTTTGTTCCATTGAATTTTGTAATGATGCTAATGATATTTGAATCTAGGGATGTGATAAAACTTTGTACTTACGTAACTATGGCTCCAAACAGAAATGTATGTTTGTTCAAAGTTATTACACAATATCATGTAAATTTGGTTTCCAGTTGCTATCCTTGATTTCCAGAATGGAAGTCTCTGCATTGATTAAAATGGATGAGGAAACTTGCATTGATGAATTTACCTCTTCAGCATTATAGTAGTCACAAAAACAGTGATAACTGGCTTTTCCGCGATGAGAAGGAAAGGTCAACTCGTGGTGGCTCGTAGCCTCCTACAGCAAGATTGTAGCCTCATATCTGAATCTAGGTATGTGATAAAGCTTTGTTCTTGGACAGAAATGTTTGGTCAAAGTTCTTACATGATTTCATGTAAATTTTGTTTCCAATTACTTGTTATCTTTGATTTCAAGCATGGAAGTTTCTGCATTGGTTAGAATGGAACCTGAGGAAACTTGCATTTATGAATTTACCTTTTCAGCCCTTACAGTGGTCGTAGAAACAGGGGTAACTGGCTTTTCCGAGCCTCCTACAGTCCTACAACAGGATTTCTACACCAGGGGATCAAGGATCCAATGAATATCAATGTGAACTTAGGGGCTGGTTGTTGTTGCCAATCAATTGACCTTTAGCTCTATTTATGCTATATTTGTTAAATACACACAGACTTGAACGGTTGCCAACCTAAAATGGCTTTGGCTGCCCTTAATAATCAACTTCTGGATATACCTGAAGGTCTCCCATGTATTTTCCCCTACTTTGAACCCTCTTTCTCTCCATATTTCTATGCATTAATTGCTTATTGAATCAAGGCCATGATTGGAAATGAGGCAAGG